TTCCCCCAGATAGAGAATACTTGTGAAATGTGGTCAGCTCACAGAGCCCTTATTTCTTCTGATGTTCTCATGCCTTTCCTATTCTCTTAACAGGCACATCTATCTATCATTTTATTTTATAGTCTGCAGGACTGATGGAAACCAAGAGCTAGGGTAAAGAGATGCTTAAGGGCATTTTAAACATTATTTTTAAACAGTGCTAAATGAATATTCTTATGCAGCTCTAGTAATTTGCTAGAACAGAATCTCACTTCCCAATATTTACGCATTAAACTTCTGTATGTGTATTGCATCTTAGATATCTCTGACTTTTCAGGTTGTAGTAAAGCCTAGTAAATGAATGGAATTGCAGCAGCAATGGTAAATGAGGCAACTTGAGCAACTAAAAAAATTCTAAACATATGTAAAGCACTTTTTCTTCCACTGTGCTTTTCTTCCATAAAGCACAGCACAAAAGGTAGTGCATTACTATCTTAGAGATACTGCCTCAAAGTCCTGAGCTTACCTGCTACTGAAACAATGAAACTATCACTTCCTATATGATTTTGGTCATGAGACAAACCTACCTGCTTCTGCTAAGCAGAAGAATTATAGAAGATAGGCACTATAATGCATGTACAACAGCCACAACCTAAACTTTATTCAATGCATAAATAAGATGACGGTATACATGTTAAAAGAGTTACTACCTGCATCTCCCGAAGGATATGCTTGTCTATTGTCAGAATCTCTATGTAGTATTTTATGAAACACCACAGCTCTTTAAAACAGCTAAAAGCAGAATGAAAAATCCCCAGACCTATTGGAGTAAAAGCTAGAACATGAGGTGGTGTCAGAGGTAAAATTTGTCTGAGAATTTGTGTTAATATTTTAATTTTAGCAAGCAGCTCTGTAAAATCATCAATGGTCTCACTTTTTTTTAGGACTAGACATTTTCAAGTAATAGTAACAAAATTCTTCATAATTTCTTTACTTGTCTACTGTAAAAAAATTACGGTGTTCATTAATGTTATTTGCCCAGAAGTAGGTAGGAGAAGTGTTTTATGTCTAAATTTATTTATTCTTCACTTCATGGGGAGCATGCTATCTTTTCAGCTTCTGATATCTTCTGTTACTGTTTTTCTAATAACTCAATGTTTCTTGGGAGTTTCCTGTTTATATGTTGAACCTAGCCCAACTCTTTTTAGAATGTAAATTCTGATAGGATTGTAGCACGCAGCAGAATCTTTTGTTTTAAAAATACATAACAGTTACCTCCTTCCCTTTTCAGGGTTTTTATTGGGGCAGGCTGCCAACGCCTGACATGTTCCAGATAGATATACAGAATGGCCATGTGGGTCAGTGGTGCCTTGTTCTGTGGTTAGACCTCAACGCAGGAGGATAGGAAACAATGGGGGAAAAGTAGAATATTTTAGGCAAAGTGTCCTAGTTTTGGAAAGGGCCGCGGGCTTTTTGTTCATTTGCAAGCACTTTCTCACATTACATGCTGGTGGGTTTCTACTGAAGCCCTTGTCAGTCAATCTCTCTCTGTATTTCTCCCTGGTGCTCCGTTAAAGCCAAATAAAACCTATTTGCCTCTGCTTTCCCTCCTTATTGATGTATGTAAAGTTATCAGCTTCTTGCAGGTGTCTGCTTCTTGCATTTGTAATGACAGTTTAACAAAAAAATCAACCAAACCTGAGGCCACAGAAAAGCTTTCACAAGAGGGGTCAAAAGGGTTTCCTCTTCTGCTAAAGGTCTGCTACATTATTAGCAGTGCCGTGCTAGAGATATTTACCTGTTGGTTGCTTTTCAATTGATTCAACATGTGGCTACAGGGAGGCTGGAGTCCTTAGATTAAACCCACTTCAAGTTAAAACTTGGGATAATTTCAGAGGGGTGGAAAAAAGAGCGCTCATCCTGCTTTGGCTCCATTGTAACTTTTTACTCTGTTTTTAAGTTTAGCTTCAATTAAGAGAAAATGAGCAAATAACAAATGGAGAACAACAATTCCAAACAATTAGGGTTTTGACATCTAAGGAAGGCAATGTTGGATGAGGTCATCTCATCACAGCCCATAAAGCTATCTCTTCCTCCCTTTGTAATACCCATGTTCCAGTCCAAGTTCCCCCTTAGTCTTTTTGTGGCTAAAGTGAACTAAACATCCCAGGCAAAATATGTGGCTGATTTATTAGTTGTCTGGGAGAATTAATGCTACAAATGCAATCATGTCTAATTTCAATTCAATAAGAAAAGCAAAGCCCAAAAGAATAGACCTCCCCATGAAAGAATTAAGGAACAGATTCATGGTTTATAAAGTCAGAGGGGAGCAGCCTGCACGTTGATCCTGACCTCCAGGAGAGCATAGGCCAAACCACTTCTTCCCTGAATTACTTCCTTTTGGAAGTAAGGCACATATCTTTAAGAGAAACAGTCAATCTTAATTTTCAAATTGCCAGTGATAGAGGACCTTATATAACCACGAGATCTGTTCCTTTGATGATTAGCTGTCCTCTGGTAAAAACATATGTGCCTTATTTTTGGTCTGAAGTTACCATGTTTGTATTTCCAGATATTGGATCCTGTGATATCTTTATCCAGTAGACAAAAAAACCCAAACAAAACAAAACAATGATCTCAGTGTAGGTAGATATTGACAGTCATCTTTACAACATTCTTCAAGAGACTGAACTCTTTTGTAGGCTTTTACTTTGGTGTAAGTTTTGCAGCCTTTTAATTATCCTCCTAATTCTCCTATGAGACTTTTCCTATTCGCTGTCCAGCTTGGATTGTGGACACCAGTGAATATAGAAGTTATGTCACATTGTCATCAAATACCATGCCTATATTCGATTTTGTCATTTCTAATTCAACTCTGTCATCCTTTCTGAAGGTCTTCAGGGAGCCTCTATTTGGCTGCGTACTCACTGTGGTCCCAAGCACCCTCCAGAGTACACATACAGTATATTCCGTCTGTATGACTTGGTTTCTTTTTTTTTTCAGAAGAATGTCTTTACTTCCTAATATGTTGCTTGCATCTGTTTCACCAGGCAATCTGGTTTGCATCATTATTTTTTCTTCTTTTTTTTTCTTTTCTCCCACTCCATAATCTTTGTGTCATATTCAGTCTTTGTCAGTAGTAACTGCATATTTTTTCCCTTGGACATTGATACTAATACTAAGTAGTTTAATTCTGAAAACTGACCCATATAGGGTTCCAGATAAAACTAGGTTATTTAACAAAGATTCCAGATTTATAGTATCACTTTCCAATTTATCATTTCATTTCTAAAACATTTAACATACGCTGCATTAATTTTTTACTATGCCAGTTTCTGAATGAAAACACATAGTGACACCAAGTGAAATTTCATACTGAAGACTATTTTATTGACACACTAATCTTTATGCACTGTATTTAAGACTTGATCTCCCCTATATCTCAAGCTGTTTGGACAAGACCTATTTTACATAAATCCACTTTGAACATACTAATTTTTGAGTCCAGCAGCTCTGCCTCAGCCTCCAGAATTCTACCTACCAGTTTTAGGCAGGCATCTGCTTCTTTCAGTCATGCTACTTTCCTCTTTATAGGCAATGTTGTCGGAAAACTTTTACACAGATATGTACATATTTTACATTTTTTAAGATTGCTAGAGTTTACAGCCCTGTTCTGGAATTCCAAAATTCTCCTTCTCATCTTTAAGGCTTTTTACTGTGGTCCTTTGGTCAAGCAGGTTTTTTTGCATAATTTCCATGTTTCATGCATAGCACAAAGCTTCAACAATCTGGAATATCTGCATTGGCATTTAAGTACAACCGGCATTGAGTACAGTGACCAGAGAGACAACCATTCCTCTGTTCATATCTACAAAGCACATTTCACATATGTGAATGACTGGGGAGCTAAAACAGCAAAAGCAGGGCCTAAGAAAAAACTGAACGAGTAGAAATGTGGGCAGACAGCAATCCACAAAACGACCAACTGCATCTTTAGCCATCCTCGTCCTTTTCTGAGATGGACAAGAACAAGCAAAGGAGGCGGTTCTGGCAGCTTTGTGAAGGGAATGACAATACAAATTTGGATGAAGCTGTGTAACTTGTGTGTATTTTACCACTGATACAGGATAAACAGAGCCTGTTTGAGCTGCACACATTGCTTTTGTGCCATATGTCTTACCTCCAACATACATGCTTTGTCCTTAGGATACCAAAGAACGAATATCCACTGCAGTCAGGAGTTTTAAAAGAATTGGCTAAGGATTTTTCTGAACCATTAACATAGTTTTTAAATAAATCTTAGGTTCCTGAGGACGTTGCACAGAACTGGAGAAAAAAAAAGCCAATCTCATGCCAGTAATTATAAATGATCAACAGGAAGATGCAGGAAACTATAAGTCCCGTGAAACTTGGCTTGGGGTCTGGGGCAGGTGGAGAAGAAAGATTGGAAGAAATACTCATAGAGAGAGATAAGAAGACGTACATTTCCCAGTGGAACATCTAACATCTCCCTGCAGCATTTTGTTTTCTCTGACTGAAAAGTGGAAAATATCCTTAGCTAATCATTTCTGGAAGAAATGGGAGAGTCAGAGTTCAACATATGGAGAAACCCTTTAGTTCCAACAGTCTACTTTTCATGTGCGTGTCTGAGGCTGCCAGACACATGCTTCCTTCACATCTAAAGTATTTCATCTGACCGCTGGTTTTCCTTTTCTTTTTCTTCCCTTGAGAATGGGTGGTGGAGGGAATGCTTCATTACAGAGAGTGGATGTTTTGTTTGTCTCACACTTTTTATTTACTCCAATCTGTTGTGTATAATAAGGGCTCTTATTCAACTTGCCCTGAAGAGTATTTACTAGATATCAAATATCATAGTTAATTTGATATGGGACTTTAATATTAAACCACCTGCTTTGACCCTGTTTTGGCTAAACTGTAACAGGCATTAGTCTCGGTGCAGAAGTGGATATTTTTGGAAGCCACAAGAAAAATGTCAGTTTTCAAGTTACACAACATATGGCTTTTCTGAACTTTTTTTTTATGTGCTTGTTCTAAAAAGATGCTATTTTTGTGCCTTTATAACTGAAGAACATCTGATCTTTTCCAGTTGAAACTTCCCAGGTGTTTACTTCATGCTGTTCTCATGTTGCAAATAAACAAGTTAAAATAATGGAAGCGTAATCCATTTAACACACTTCTGTGAGCATCTGTGTTCCAAAACCTCTGTAAGAAGAAAAGAAGAGACTTCAGACTCCAAGAGCTATTAGGCATCTCCATGTTATCAAGGACAGTTCATTCCAACATTCAGACCTTGCATAGTGGGGATGAAAATATGGGGAGACGTGTTATGAAATCAGCATAGTTTGGGAGTTTTTAGCTGCTGCTGCCATTTGGTTGAAGCTGGCTCCACTGCTGTTCTAAGCAGACTGTGACACTTCTTGGCATAGAGTTTCAGACTGGTTAATGGAAAGCTGATAGCTAATAGGTCTCACAGATTTAATCATGAATAATGTGCTTGGTTTCGTTCAGTAATTTCTCTCTAGCATGACTGAATAGTGGGGATATTTAAGCAGTAATAGTTCAAACTGAAAAAGGTTTTGATTCCCCTTGTGTTTAAATGTCAATTTTCAATAAATATTTAAACTGTACCAGGATAATCAGTGCATTAAGCTTCACTCCAATGATCCACCTGTTCAATTTTTTCATCTGTGGCAGCAGTGAATATACAGGCTTATTAGACAAAACTTGCCAAATAGATAAACAACAACCTAAAGGAAACTTTTTCCTATTTTTTTAATTAGGAAATGAGCTTACAGGTTAAAATAGTAAGGTACATGTCCATTATCAGCTTTAATTTATTTATGTATTATTTTTGGCACATCATTTTACCTATGTAGTCTAGCATCATAGTTGTTAAGGATTAAGTAGTGTGTGTGATGGAACTAGGTGCACTGATAACTGCATTTTTTGTTATGTGGATAAAATAGATTTATAGCTATAAATAAGGATGTCAGCTGATTTCTTCTATCATGCACAGCTTTTTCCCAGAATTAACTGCTTCTTGTTCACTGAGAATCCAATGGTCATGGATATAAGCAGTATTCAGTGCCCATTCTTCATAAACTTTACTTTCCAACACTTTTTTGGCAAAACTCCTGCCCACCTGTACTGGGTTTGTATGACAATGGGGGGCTATAGAGCTGGCTCTGTGATAAGCTGCCAGAAGCTTCCTCCCTGTCCAATAGAGGCCCCAAGACAGACCTGCCACTGACCAAGGTCAAGCCCATCAGCAACAGTGGTAGCATTTCTGGGAAAATGTACTTCAACAGAGGAAAAAGCTGCTGTGTGACAGCAACTGCAGCTAGAAGAGAGGAATGAGAATAGGTGAAAGAAACAGCTCTGCAAATTCCAAGGTCAGTGAAGAAGGAGGGGGAGGAGGTACTCCAGGCACCAGAGAAGATATTGCCCTGCTGCCCATGGCAAAGACCATGGTGAGACAGCTGTCTCCCTGCAGCCCATGGAGATCCACAGTGGAGCAGAGATCCACCTACAGTCTCTGGAGGACCCCATAACAGAGCAAGTGGATGCCTGAAGGCTATGTCCACAGGAGAAGCTCACGCTGGAGCCAGCTCCTGGCAGGACCTGTAGCACCACAGAGAGAGAAGCCCACACTGGACCAGGGTTGCTGGTAGGACTTGTGACCCTATGCGGGATCCACACTGGAGAAATTTGTTCCTGAAGGACTGCACCCCATGGAAGGGACCCATGCTGGAGCAGTTCATGAGGGAGGATTCACATAGGAGAAGTTTGTGGAGGACTGTCTCCTGTGAGAGGGACACCACACTGGAGCAGGGGAAGAGTGTAAGCTGTCCTCACCTTGAGGGGGGAGCAGCAGAGAACAATGTGTGATGAACTGACCTGCACACAAAGGCTGGGAACTCCCCATCCCTGGAAGCGTTCAAGACCAGGCTGGATGGGGTTCTGAGTAACCTGGTCTAGTGGAAGGTGTCCCTGCCCATGGCAGGGACATTGGAACTAGATGCTTTTTAAGGTCCTTTCCAACCTCAACCGTTCTATGAGTCTATGACCTCAGCCCCTATTCACCATCTTTCTGAGCCTCTGGTGGGGAGGAGATAGAGAAAATCAGAAGTAAAACCAAGTCCAGAAATAAGGAAGGGGTAGGGGGAAGGTGTTTTTAAGACTTTGTTTTATTTCTTGTTATCCTACTCTGGTGTGTAGGATCTACCTCCTCCAATCAAGTGTCTTTTCCCTGTGACGGTAATTGGTGAATGGTCTCTCCCTGTCCTTATCTCAATCTATGAACCCTTCATGGTATTTTCTCTTCCCTGTCTGGCTGAGGAGGGAAGTGACAGAGTGGCTTTGGAGAGCACCTGATGTCCATCTGGGGATATCACACCACCTCAGGGAATAATAGAATGGTTGGGGTAGGAAGGGACCTGTAATGGCAGGGGTATCAGTTCTCTGATCATCTTTATGACCCCCCTCTGGACTCCCTCCAGCAGGTCCATGTCTTTCCTGTGATGAGGAGCCCACAGCTGGATGCAGCACTCCAGGTAGACTCTCACAAGAGCAGATTAGAGGGGCAGAATCATCTCCCGCAACCTGCTGGCCACACTTCTTTCAATGCAGCCCAGGATACCTGGCTTTTTATCCATGGTGTTCTGAGGGTTGTTGTTGGAGTGGAGCATCTGGATGTAATGCAGCAGATGTGTGGACGTTTCCCATGTGGTGGGAGGTGCATTTTGCCATGATGTTGTAGGGAGGCTGAGGCTGCAGCTTCCATCAGAGATGAGCTCCCCCTGCGGCAGGCTAGAACAACCACCCCTTTACAGGCAAAGCCTTTTGTCCCAGCAGAAGCTGAATGTGATGAAAATCTGTCAGGAATTACCCATGTGAAGACTATAAATAATTGAAAAAAGAAATGTGGAAATGGCAGGAGTGTAAAAATCTGGCATCAGCCTTCGTGATTTGCAAAGCAACACCCGGAGTCCAGCTGATAACACAAAGAAGATCCTTAGTTTTGGCTTGCCAGAAACAGAGGCAAGAACCAGTAACCTGAATTATGTGAAGTCCATCAGGTGCTGGCACTGGTAAAAAGAAGGGAAATTTCAAATAAATAAGGTGAAGTGGGAAGGCTTTCTTAGAGCACATGTACAAAATTTCATTATGGTTAAACTAGGGAGCCAAGCACAGCTTTTCATTTTCAGCTCCCTGCAAGATTGATTTGACTTGTATTTATAAAGGGACTTCAGCCTTTTGTAGCCACCTGGAGCAGGGGACAGGCAAAGGCCAAGGTATTTCCCTATGCAGGTGGCCCACATAAATATCTTGGTGGAATTTATTTTCTTTCATTTATTTTGGCATTGCTTGGGCACTGCTTGATTAAGAGGTGGTGTGTAGGAACTGATACGCCCAGAGATAGACAGCCACATCTGCTAACCATTTGGATTAATTATTACACCTGTACCATAAAACACATGTTAATAAAGAGCTGGTGAACAGGTTCAGGTTGCAGTTTTAAACAGGCCCAAAGAAAGCAGAATGCTAGTCACATACAAGAGCGAGCCAAACCTTTTGCTGATAAGATGCTGCAGGCTTCAGCCATATCCAAGGAAGAGGCAATGTCAGATACAAATGAAAAATAAATCACACACAGGAGGAAAGTGAATATCCTGGCAAACTACGCCTTTGTAGTCTATTGGCTAGAAGGTGAGCGACAGTACACGCTCTTTCTTTCCTTCTTTCTTTGCTGTTAGATGTAAAAGGAAAAAAATCATTAATCACTCTGCAGGATACAGCACTTAAATGGGTAAAGTTGCTGAAGGGGTCTGGTTAGCATCAGCCGATTTTTCATTTCCTTTCAGTGGGGACAGTGTGGTGCTCTGGAATCCCTGGAGCCCAGGAGCATGAATGCAGGTATTGAATTTTCAGGAGGAGACAATTAAGACCAAGCATGTGAGATACAATCATATTTGAATTAATTCAGATACCTCAGCTAAAGACCTAAACCCTACACCTTCTTCCTTCTTTGGGAGGCATATTTGAGAGGGTTTTACTGGGCTGGTATTAATCATTAATCATACCTTGTGTCAGTTATGATGGAACACAATGGAGCTCTGTATTTATTATTTCTTCCACTGAAAAGGTTTACCATATTCTTTCTGCCTGTGGAAAATCATTTTCCTGGACAACCTCTGCAAACAGCTTTTACCAGGTTTTCACAACTCTTTATTCTGAGATTCCCTGCAATTGGAACAGAGTGAATGTGGGCCTTGAGTCTGGTGTCAATTCTTCATTATTTGTCAGATACCTCCTGACCAAAACTGGCTTCCATCATGATCTGTAGATGGCCGAAGAAAGAGCGTAGGACCATTGTGAGGACATTTGCACTCCTTCTCACTTTGGGCTTCATCTGTGGTTGATGCTGGTGTATACCTGTTAGCTTTGGGAGTTCTTTTGGCATTGTAATACTCATCACTGCAAATATCACCAACAAAGGGGCACGTCATGCTGCCCTGATGCCCAGCACCACTGGACAATAGTGCCTGGATATCTTTCCAAAAGGAGGAAGCCAGAACGTGCACCTGTCCCTCAAACCTGTTTGAACAGTATTTCACTGACAAACACAAGAGTTCAATATGTTTTGGTCCTGACCTGTGCAATTGCTCTGAGAAGCCATGTGGTCCAGATGAAAGCTGAGGTCTGTGCTGTGCCACCATGCCCTGCAGAAGCCGTGGGATCAGCTGGAGAGCAGTTGGATGCTTGGCAGGTTGACCATGTGCTGTCAGGTTTGAGGCTCTCCAGTCACCAGTCAGTTTCAAGCCCACGTCTTCCCTGAGAGGATGGATTTACAAACAGTCTATGGGAAGGTCCAGCAAAGACAGTCTGGCCATCCAAAGTGAAGGATGGTCTTTCAAGGATATTTTTCATGAATCAGGACAAAAAGATGGAGTTAATGTCTGCCTCACTTGCCCAAAGAAGTATTTGTTTGGAAATATAGCAACCTACAGCGGATAGGAGTATGGAAATGTAAAATACACTGAGATATAATTTTAAGATATAGCCCACAATAACTCTGATAAAACTATTTATCTTGACACATGTGTTTTATTGTCTGAAATTTATTTTCCCCTGCAGCCTCAATTTAAGTCTTCATGCTCTTCACATATATATGTATATACTTCAACACTTCAGAGAGTTGGAGTCAAAATTAGCATTTCATTTTCTTTATTTTCAAACCATATTTCTGCAGTATTTTTCCATATTACCACTATATTATTGATGAACGCTTTTGTGGCTACTCTGATCACTTGAGTTCTGTCCAGGTAATAGGTGCCAACTTTTAGCAGTTGCAGGATCTGAATTACAGTGCACAAAACTACCGGTAGATCATTTACATTCATATTTCTGAGTTGAAATAATCCTTGGAATGTATTAATTTCAAGCTATTGTTTAGATTTACTATCCAGCTCCACCTTCTGGTAAACTTGCATTAAGTCTAACTTAAGTTTCTTTCTACTTGCAAACACTGAAAGCAAATTCTTTCCTTTGTAACTATGCTACTGATCAACACTTAAGGATGAATTATGCTGACCTGTATTAACCTTGCCAGTCATTGAATTTGTACCTCATTGACTGTTTCAGGGATACATGGAATAAAAGCAGCACTTTCAGAGTAAGCTTGAAGGGAGATAATCTGCATCGTCAAGTCACTGAAATTTCTGATTCGTGACATCTCTTAATAAATAAGTCCGAGACTCCAAAATTACGGAATGGCTTCCTTAGAGTCATAATGCCACAGTTCTTTTAGTCTTAGCTGTTCTTGAAAAAGAATATGCAAATGTGTCTAATGAGACATCCATTCATTCTTGAAAAGTTTCTCTAAAAAGATATGCATGAATGCATTTATACTCAAAATAAGCATAACTGGGTTTACTTAAAAATTCCTCATTTATGTCTTTGCTTCTTATCCCCTTTTTAAAGCATTTGATGTAATCAGACTGTCAGCTGTCATGTACTGGGGATATCCAATACTACTGGTTTATGAAGCACCTAGAGGAGCTGCATGCCTACCTTGGACATGAGGGAAGGGGACACTTGGACAGGGCATGGAGACACTGTGAATTTCAACATTAGTCATTTGATTAATCCATTTATCCAGGCTCTTATCTATAGGGGTTTTTTATGTTTTCTTGCCTGTGAACTTGCAGTTTTCTTTTGAATCCTCATCTTTTGTATTTATGTGCTTCTGGTATATAAGTTGTAGCTCTAACAATAAACTAACTAGGGCTCAAGAGCTATTCAATCGGTAATGTTAACTTTCAGCTCACGCCCTGACACAGCTTCCCCAAATCAACTAGTCCCTCATGGACAAAGCCAAGGCACAGTGTAAGGGGCGGCACAGGCCAATGAGTATTTCCCATAGACATTTTGGGCAATGGTTGGAATGCCACTCTCCTTTACTGCTCATTTCATTTTTAAGGATTGACATACACTTATCACTGCCATTTTCTGTTTCTGAGAACCTAGAAGACTGACAGCCTGTTTCACCCTGTGACTGTTCAGAAGATGCATCAGGACATACAGTCCTGCTATATGTCTTGTGCAAACCACTACCAAAATGATGTGGTTTCTTTTCCACTTACTCCCAGTAAGCAGACCATGTCTGTGTCTGCCTGCTGTTTACACTGCGCTGGGAAAGGTCCCCTCATCATGCCAGTGTGCAAATTGCATGCTTATCAATATGCAGAAGGCTGAGGACAGTGTGCATTTTTATATTTTCTCTTGAACCAAATCTTTAGCTTCTTCCTGTTTTTCTACTTGAACAGCATTCAACTGCACTATAATAGGAGTTTGCCTGAGTAAGGACTCAACATTTGTCCTCTTACTGAAAGAAACATCTTATTGTTTCTTGCTTATGTTACTGTAGGGCATAAGATGCCTGTTTTTCAACCAAAGTCCCATAGGTCTAAGGACAAAAGGAAAACATAGTTCCACCCTTCAAAGTGATCATAAGACAAAAAACAATGGACAGCTACAGACAGATGAATGAGCACACAGACACAGAGAGACAGCGCTGGTCAGTGCAATGGGCTGCAACCTAACCATTGTCACTGTAGGCATCACTGGAAGGAAAACAATTGGAAAGAGAACTGATCCAAGAGAGTAATTTTATTTGCAGAGGAATTTGCATCTCAGCACTTGGTGACAGTCCAGCAAGAACAAAAACCCGAATTGTTGCAACGTTGGGTGAGAGGGGGTGTGGAGCCCCTGCTGGGGACAGCCCCTGTCAGGCTGATCCTCATGGGACTTGCACAACCTTTCAGTTGCAGCAAACCGGCACATGTCAGCGACCATGAAAACACTTCCGTCACAATTTTTCCAGACAGTGAAGCCTGAAAGAAGCTGGTGAAGCAGATTTTGTCTTTTATTACAGAGAATTCCTCCAGGAATGAGGGGTAAAAAAGGAGAAAACATGGTGATTAGATTCAAAAACGTAACATGCAGGTACTGTGGTATGGGACCATAGGCTGCCCAAAGATCCAGTATCTTCCAAGGGAATGAGAGATAATAGGTAGTATAAGAACTGACTGCAGACAGCTAGAAAGGAGAGACTAACTCCCACCCCATGCAGTGCTACAGGCTGGGGGAAAAGTGGCTGGAAAGCTGCCTGATGGAGAACGACCTGGAGGTGCCGTTCAACTACTGGCTGAACATGAGCCAGTAGTGTGCCCAGGTGGCCAAGAAGACCAATGACATCCTGGCCTATATCAAAAATAGTGTGGCCAGCAGGACTCGGACAGTGATAATCTCCCTGCACTCAGCACTGGTGAGGCTGCACCTGGAGCATCGTGTTCAGTTCTTGGCCACTCACTACAAGACATGGAGGTGCTGGAGAAAGTCCAGAGAAGGGCAACAAAGCTGGTGAAAAGTCTGGAGCACAAGTCCATGTGTGAAGAGCAAATGAGGGAGCAGGTGTTGTTTAGTCTGGAGAAAAGGAATCACAGGAGATCTTATTGTTCTCTACAACTACCTGAAAGGAGGTTGTAGCCAGGTGGGGGTCGGCCTCTTCTCCCAGGCAACTAGCGACAGGACAAGAGGAAATGGCCTCAAACTGTGCCAGGAGAGGTTCAGGATGAACATCAGGAAGAGTTTCTCCACTGAAAGACTTGTCAAGCATTGGAAAGAGCTGCCCAGGGTGATAGTGGAGTCACCATCCCTGGAAGTGTTCAAGAAATGACTGGACATGGCACTTAGTGCTATGGTTTAGCTAACATGGTGGTGTTCAGTCAAAGGTCAGACTTGATGATCCTGGAGGTCTTTTCCAACTTTAATGATTCTGTGATTCTATGATTTAATGAAGAATGTGCGGAAGAAGCAGGGGAAGGTTGCAAACAAAAAGTGACATGATCACAGTAGCAGGCTATGAACACAAAATGCAAACTGACAGAACTTGAATGAGTTTAGCTGTCTACATGGAAGCTCAAATCCCCATCACACTGTGCAGAGTGTATATGTGGTCTGAATGGGACTCATGAGTCACAGGCTGTGCCCAGATGTGACCAGCAAAATGGCTATGCTTTCTAAAAGAATCGGGAAAGTGAGATTTAGTCAACCTGAATTTAATCACAGAATTATAGAATCAACTGGGTTGGAAAAGACCTACCAGATCATCAACTCCAACCATTGATCCAAAACTGCCATGGTTACTAGACCATGGCACTAAGTGACACATCCAGTCTTATCTTAAAAACCTCTAGGGATGGTGAATCCACCACCTCCTTGGGCAACCCATTCCCATGTCTGATTATTCTCTCTGTAAAAAATTTCTTCCTAATATCCAACCTAAACCTCCCCTGGCACAGCTTAAGGTCATGCCCTCTTGTCCTACTGCTGGTTGCCTGGGAGAAGAGACCAACCCCCACCTGGCTACAACCTCCTTTCAGGGAGTTGTAGAGAGTGATGAGGTCTCCCCTGAGCCTCCTCCTCTCCAGGTTAAACAACCCCAGCTCCCTCAGCCTCTCCTCACAGGACTTGTGGTTGAGTCCCTTCACCAGACTTGTTACTCTTCTCTGGACCTGCTCCAGCACCTCAATATCCTTCCTGAACTGAGGGGCCCAGAACTGGACACAGTTCTCAAGGTGTGGCCTCACCAGCGCTGAGTACAGGGCCAGAATCACTTCCCTGGACTTGTTGGCCACACTGTTCCTGGTACAGGCCAGGATGCCATTGGCCTTCTTGGCCACCTGGACACACTGCTGGCTCATGTTCAGCTTCCTGTCAATCCAAACTCCCAGATCCCTTTCTGCCTGGCTGCTCTCCAACCACTCTGCCCCCAGCCTGTAGCACTGCAGGGGGTTGTTGTGGCCAAAGTGGCTCATTTACCAGCTGGAGCAGGAAATTATCCTCTATACACTCTAGGAATCTCCTAGACTGCCTCTTCTCTGTTATGTTGAGTTTCTAGCAGACATCCAGCAGGTTAAAGTCACCCACAAGAACAAGGGCTGGTGATTTTGAGACATCTGACAGCTGCTTGTAGAATAATTCATCACCCTCATCATCCTGGTTGGGTGATCTGTAACAGACTCCCACTAGGATGTCAGCCTTGTTGGCCTTCCCCCTGATTCTGATCCACAGGCACTCAACTTATCATGACCGACTTCAAGTTCTATGGAATCAAGAGACTCTCTAACATATAGAGCCATCCCTCCACCTCTCCTACCTTGCCTGTCCCTTCTGAAGAGCCCGTAGCCACCCATGGCAGCACTCCAGTCACGCGAGTCATCCCACCACGTTTCCATGACGGTGACTACATTATAGCTTTCCTGCTGCACAGTGGCTTCCAGCTCCTTTTGTTTGTTACCCATGCTGCTTGCATTGGTGTACATGCACTTCAGGTGAGCTGCTGATTTCACTTCTAACTCTGGCTTTCCACCCTTAGGCTCATCTATGGAGAGCCTGGTTTCAATCCCTTACCCCTTCAAATCTAGTTTAAAGCCCTTCTGATCAACCCCAACAACTTAAGGGCTAAAGTCCTTTTGCCCTTGCTAGATAGATGAAGCCCATCTGACTACAGCAGGCTAGGTACCATAGAATTTGCCCCATGGTCAAAAAAAAACAAAATTCTGCCAGTGGCACCTTTAGCCATTTATTTATAAAATGGGTTTTCCTACTCCTCTCCTCATTTATCCCTGCTACTGCAGGAACTGGGGCGAACACTACCTATGCTCCTGTCCTATTAACTAATCAGCCTAGTGCCTTGAAGTCCTTTTTAATTACCCTGCTACCTCTTTCATTAATGTCATCACTGCCAGCCTGGACCACCAGCAATGCATAATAATCAGAAGGCCGGATTAGCTCAGGGAGTCTCCTACTAATATCCCTCATCTGGACCCCAGGAAGGCAGGAGACTTAAGTTATTAATTAGCCGTACATAAAGAAGTGCAGTTAACACAAGTGAAATTTTAACTTGGAAGAGAAAGTGATTCTTCTCTAGCAGTGACATGAATTGCTGACATGGAGTGGTCTGTGTGGAGACACTCAATGGATTTGTGTCTTTGCCTGGCTAGGAATTTAAGGGATTTTTACACTGAAAGAGGTGTCAGAAAGGACCACACTCATAAGGAAACTTGAGTCTGCCTGGGCTCTGGCCAGAGGAAAGAAAAGTTACTTCTGAATTCAATTATCTGTGGGATATCTTTGTCCTAGGTTGTCAAAAAGAGCCCAGAAGAATGGTCAGCCAACATCACC